TCCCTTCTCCCGTGCTCCCGGATATCGCGGACTCTAACCTGCGATTCTAGCTGTCCCCCCGAGAATAGACTCTGCCACATTCTTTGCGGGAGCTCTGACACGAGCGGAGTTGGTCAAGAAGTCTGTTTGCTTGTTATCACAGAAAGCGGCTCGCCGGAGAATGAGGAGCGAATTTGACCTTTTCGGATGCATAATATAATCCTTGAATGTTCCGTGTTGAATACAAAATACTATCGATGCGCAGGCGGAGGATTTCCAAAGGGAGCAGGATTTCTGTTACGACGGCTTTATCCGCGCACGCGAGTACAACTCTCTTCCATTGGGCGGTTCCTCAGCTCCTCGGCGCCGGCGTCGAAGCTCGATTGCTCTTCGTGTCTTCTGGAGGTGAGCTAAATTTAGTACCGACAAGTTCGGGATGTTCAGCTTCTCGAAATACAGGGAATTCGAATTTCTCTATCGAGAATATTAATCAGCGGAATGCGCTCCTTTGTTCGCAATCGACGGCCTTCCCTATGCCGAAGCAAAACCCTCAGGGGAAAGCCTCCGACAGTTTTTCTCTATCGTTCCCCACCTGGATCAATCGCCGCTCGTTCCCTCATCGCCACGTTCAGGCTCGGAGCTTTTCATCTTTCGCCGCCTGAAAGTTTCGCCGCGCGTGAGTTCCATACGCTAGAATAGGCGTGGATCTCTTTTAGAGAGATCGCTCGCTCGCTCCACCGTTAACTTGCTTGCTTGCTTGGACGCTCGCTTGGGTAGACTTCACTCCCCCGCTCAGACTTGACTCGGGTTCCCCTCTCGAGGCGGCAATGTGTGGCCGTTCGCAGACGGGATATGCAGACGCAAAGTGAACAGAGAGCGTAGACGTAAACGAGGCTGCAGGACCTGTGACTCTCCGCGCAGCCGACGTTCCGAGTAGCTACCTCCGTACGAATGTACGGACGTACATAGGAGAACGACCGCAGCTACGCGCACAGACTCGCACCGCAGGCCCGGGATACGCACAAACAACGCTCTGTTGATCCAAGGGTCGCTTCTGTCAACACGGCAGTTCACTTGCCAGTCGACCAGCCAACCATATACCATCCTCGCAAGACCCTATTTATCCACCCATCTATCAATCCGCCTGTCCGCCTATTCGTGGAGGCTGCAAAATTCATGTCGTCTTCCCGCGAAGTTCGCGGACGAGGGTTAGAACTCCGGAACTCCGTCGAGAGAGACGCCTGTTGGATATTTCATTTCGTGGTGCGGCGGTGCAAGAAAGGGACGGAGTCGGGACCATTCAGCTCCGAGCTGCGTTGTATTGTCCGTCCCGAGTTCCGGAAGCAATTCGATCAGAGAGGGACAGCTCGTCCGTCGCCGCAATAATTCGTATTCAGTGGATAGTTCCCACTGCCGCGGGTAGTTGGACTTGTCAAGTGTCTGAGCGGATCGGGACACGGTTCGGGTGCAAATAATTGCTCCGAGTCTCGAGAATTTTGATCGGCCGAAATTGGAGGCTCGGGACAGCTCGGAGCTCTCCTCGAAGGCCCTACTAGCTCGCGGGCGAAGTCGAAGTGAGGCCCTCCCTCGTCACATCGTATCGAAGTCCGAGCGTGCAGAGAGACATTTTCTTCACCGATGGAGGGACAAGCTCACCGTCAGAGGCGCAACAGAGCGTCACCGTCGGCGGATCGAGTTGACAATCAATGTGATGGTATCGTCGATTTTTCCGGAAAATAAAGATTCTCAAGGGATAAATGCTCCATGCCGAAAACCCGGAGGTAGGTGGAGCCCATCGCCCATCGGAACGACGGTGACAAACACCTCACTAAGTCTCATTCAAGGCGTGAGATATCGCGGTTGACACGGGGTGACCGAAAAATTCGGGAGTCCTTACAAATGATGTCGACACTCAGTCTCTAAGAGAGAGCTCAAGGATTGTAGACCGTCTTGTTGGACGTAGAAAAGCCTCAGGAATGCAACGCGACCGGTTTCAAGGCGACCCGAACAGGTACGTATCCGTTCGAGAGGATCCGGAGAGAAGACAATCAATTTCTTCATTTTCTGTCTTGACAATCTCGGTTTATCAGCTCTAGAATGTTTGAGTCCCAGAGAGAATTTCCCAGAGCACGAGACCTCGAGATGTGCGATCGGAGGCCTCATTGAGCGAGCCGGCGCGACTCCGCGACGGAACAATTGCGAAATTGGGTGGCGGAGAAAGTGACTTTTTTCCGCCGCAGCGACGATTCCACTCCCCTTCTTGAGGCGTGCGACTCCTGAGCATGGTTTGTTGGCAGACAGAGACGGGGCGAGAATCAACACGGGCGGCGAGCCCTCGCCGTTCCCTCCTTAGAAAAATAGTAGGCATCTCGCAGTGTCTTTGATGAACGATGTCTCATAAAAACGGGGAACGCTGGGGAAGTGTGTGTGGCTCCTGAGACGAGGGAGAAAGACACAGAGGAAAACACAATCGAGAAGATCGCGGAGGGATTCTGCATGTAGGGCCTCGAACACCTCCACGCCATTTTTAAGTAGGTATTCTGAACGCTCCAGCGAACGAGCCGCGAGGGGAATGTCGAGGAGATATATAAGCTCCACGAGCTCTCATAGGGGATGGCACGTTCTGGACACGCTACCCACGACTTTCGGTTTCAGCCGCCCAATCATCGGCGAGGGTACAAATGATGTGATTGAAAAAGAGAGACGGATCAAAATAGCATATAATATTCGCGACTAGAATCCTTCGGGCTCTACAATGAAGCGGATAAAGGATGTCGACCAGACAAAGCTCTCCCTAAGTCAGTGGTGGACGGAAATTGAAGTGGGAGCTGTGCCGAAACTAATACTTACTCGAACGAACGGCGAGACTAGGAGATGTCTTCCTCGTGGTCGTTGAGTCCCGACAAAGCGAGTTTTGTCGACTTCTACATAGAAGGCATTCCACGGGGCCTTTATGGCTTGCTGCATTCAACCTCTGTCGAATTCAGTGACCTCCCGAATAGTGCAGAGCACATTTCAGACCTGCTCATTTCGCCTCCGAAATTCGCCGTTGTTGAATCGCTCAACCTCTCTGACAATAATGCCCGAGTGCGGAGTTCGGAGCTTTCGAGAATTTCTCAATAATTCGCTCATTGATCACTAAAACTTTCAACGGGAGTTGTTACGAAAGTTCTTATATGCGTAGGTCGCTGAAACCACCAACTCCGAACGTCGAATATCTCAAGAGAATGGAATCGGAGATCTCATCAAGCGCTCCCTCGCCGAACCGCGAGTCCCCCATCCATGACCTAATTCTCTCCTCCGCTTCCTTCCAAACGAATTCGGTCACCGCGAGATGATCCTGAACTTCTGCCGAACGACTACAATCGCGACGCTTTTCCATTTCACTTCCACGGGCTGTCGAAGCGTCGCGTCGCATGCGCTCTGCCCTTGGCCTCGCTGCATACAAGAAAACTAGCAGATTGGCATCCAGGAGGTCCCTTAGTAAGGTGAGAGCCCCGCTCTTAATGAGATATCCATCCCTCCTTCCGAAACTGTCCGAGATTTCAGTTAGTAAGGATGCTCGAAGCTTCTCGATGTGACGGACCGAGTCTCTGGGATGGACCGACAGAACGAATAATATTAGACTTATCGGATGAAGACTTCTGCTGCAACGGAAGCTCCACATCGGATGACGAGGCCTGACAATCCACTCATTTGCAGACGGTCGATATTTCGATCCGATTTCCAACACATGCATCGCCTTCCTCTGTCTGACGCTGCAATATGCCTATTTACGTGCAGCTCCGGGGAATTCTCGGGAAACTTACAAACCATGGCGTTTCCCTGGGACGTTGACGTCGATGGGGCATTTGCATATGTCAATTTATTGGGGGCCACTCATCACAAGTTAGACTTACCGTATCCCCGTCACTATCGCGTTTATCGACTTCCGCTTCTATTAGTTCGCCCCGTCGTACATAAGCTCAGCTCGAAGTCGGCCGGGGTGGCGAGAGCAATCAGACTGGAAATCGTGAGCGCGGAAGCCGATGGGATCCTTCTCGATACAAACCTGGAAAGACTGTTCCATCGTTCGAAAATGGCCCGTCCGAGACTTTCGCGCCGGAGCTCCAGACACGCCCACTATCAGGTGCTTGGTTTCAGTATTCATAACTGCTTTCGGGGCGCATATCATTCATCCGTGAACGACGGCAGCAGAAGTGACACTATCGCAAGGACAATGTACCCAAATGAGAATGGTTTCTGATAACTTATTCCAGGAGCTGGAGAGCCGCTGCCGCGTCGAAGCCGGTGGGAAATGAGTGTGTGGGATCCATAGCGAAAATGAGGCGAAGAAGAAAAGACGTAAATGTGACGCAGCAGAATTTCAGAACACTCTCCGGCGCTTCCGACCCTGAAAACTGATTGATTGATTGATTTTTTATTGACCTCCCCTAGCTGTGTTCACATTTCAAACATAGGGTGAGACCCCGGTATAAGGGGCGATGGCTCAGCTGGTCGTTGGCGGATGCGGTTTCGCGACTTGTCCGTCGGGGTTATCAATGTTCCTCTTTTCCCACTCTTCTAACATTTCGTTTGTGTCGAATATCATCTTCGGGGTGCTTTCTTCGTGTAAGCCCAGTCTCTTTCGTATAATGCACTCAGCATTCGAGTAGTATTGTCATAGATATGCTCGATATTTCCTCGCGCCGTTTTAAAAGTCCTGTGCCGTTCAAGGGTTTTCTTTTCGGACATTCATCCGACCCAATCTAGGTCGACTTTGTTTTTTATTGTTTCGTTCTAGTATTTCTTGTCAACACCGAGACTCACTCTATGAGTTCATCTTGGGACTTCTCACAATCAGATATTTTGACATCCTTTCTTTTTCAGCTCTGGACTCCTTTTCTGAAGTTTAACGGGGATATTCGCAATCTTCATCATTGTCTGGATTGCCTTCGGCCTTCTCGTCTCGCTCATCTCATTGATTCTGGCTTGGTGAATGAGCTTACTTTTTGCTTCTCTGGCTTCGAATGTGGACCATCTCAGTCCATAAATTCTATAGCGGTGTTCGCGTTGGGTTCCCCCAGGGCCCATCTTCCAGCTTCTCCTTGTAAGATTTCGAGTCCCCGCTGCAATTCTGCGGACACCGTAGTTACCGAGTTAACATATGTCAGCCCCGGTACCGCCCTGCTCTTCCACTGGATCTTAGTCACCTCGGACCTGTTGAATTTCCAAAGTGATTTGGCGTGCATCCGTCGCAGAACCTTTTCTGCTTTCGATTCCCAGATCTTCTGCTGTTCCTCCGAGTAGTTTCTCCCATCACATAAGGTGATGCGTAAGTACTTGTAGGAGTTTGGAATTCGTAGCGGGAGGTTTTGGATTTCGAAATTTCTTTCTGAGTCTCTACATGACGCGAACTCCACTATGGCGCTTTTGATGGGATTGAATTGGAGATTCATTTGTTCTCCGAAATCCGATACGACCTCTAGTAATTCGACCATCCCGTTTCGGGTCTGTGAGATTAGTACCAAATCGTCAGCGAATTTCAATCCCGTGATAGGGAAATGGCTCTGTCGTTAGGTGTCAATCAAGTTCCTCGGCAGTGTGACCTTATATCCAACTCCTCTTTGCTGTAGCCTCGATTCGAGCTCGGATATCTACAGTATGAATAGGATCGGACTCAACGGGCAACCCTGTCGTAGACCTTTCTCTGTTCGTATAGTCTTGGATTTGTGCACATTATAGTGGAGTGCTACTCCGTTATCAGTATGTAGAAGTTTTATTACTTCTATGATATGTTCCGACATGCCTCTCCCCTCCAGAACTTCCCAGAAATATGCCCTGTCAATCCGATCATGGGCACGAGTGCAGTCCAAGAAGCAGGTTATCGGACCTGCGTTCTCCTAACTAGCACATTCGATGGCAAAAATGCAATCTTCTCCTCTTCTGTCTTTTCTGAAGCCATATTGCATTTCGCCGATTACCTCCGTCCCTTCCATCCAATTTTGGATTTCTCGGCAGAGTATCCGCGCGAACAGCCTAAACAATATCGTTGATATTGTGAGTGGCCGAGAGGTTCTAGGCATCCCCTTTTTCGAGGAGCTCTTTTAGAGGAGCCATACCCGTTCTAAGCACCGGGAGTGCCAGTATCGCAAGGACAATGTACCCAAATGAGAATGGTTCCTGATAACTTATTCCAGGAGCTGGAGTGCCGCTGCCGCGTCGAAACCGGCGGAAAGTGACTGTGTGGGATCCATAACAGAAATGAGGCGCAGAAGAAAAGACATAAATGTGACGCAGCAGAATTTCAGAACACTCTCCGACGCTTCCGACTCTGAACACTTCCATTCCATCGGCGAATATCGAATGGGTTTGGGCGATTCGGCACTCGGAGGCATATTGACCTGGAGTCTGACGTAACGGAGGGTCATTCTTGAAAATACTCCTTATTTCCTTATGAGAATTCATTGGATGCCCGGAGCAGATTTCCTTCGGGGATTCCGTCCGGGTACACTCCCAGGGAATTCCAGCCATCGAAACCCGCATCGAGCCCACGAAGCTCAAAGGTTATAGCATAGAACCCCGGATCCACTCCTAGTTCACGGAATAAACTTCTTCTCTCATTGAAAACCTCGATCTGTCCTCTCTCGCCTTCTTGCGTAGAATCCCGCGTATCCTAGCCACGTCCGCCTCTGTCATTCCGAAATGTCGAAAGCCGATTTCCCCGTTTTGAGAAGATGATCATATGGCCTGATGAGGCGTGACCGACGAATTCTCCTGAGAGACTTGTGAGAATTCACCGCACCTTATCGAGGGCTAGTGTAGCCCACATCGATCCTTCCGCCTCTCGGCTTGTCATCCGCAAAGTGTCGTGGGACTTATCGAGCGGTCCCCGAATTCCTCATATCATCAGAGGTCTTTGTCTGAGCTCCCGATAAACTCTCCCCCGCCCTTCCCCCACCCTCAAGTATCGCGGTGACAAAGCGTTTTCCGGATCTGACCGATTCGGTTTTTGGAGTTTCGTTTCTCCCAGAGTGCCACGGACTTCCCTGTCGTGTTGAGCTCCATTGAGAGTTCCGTACGCGACTGGGCAGGGGAGCTCTCTCTTGATAGACCCCCAAGACCTTTGCCCGGCGGGATCTTATGCTCAGTCTCTGGCTTGTATGTGGACGGATGCAAGATAAATGGCGTAAGGACTGCTATGACTAGGCTTTGCAAATAACCGCATTTTGGAAAAACCGCGGTTTCGGTTACTCGCGGGCAAAAAACCGCGGTTACGGTTATTTCGCGGTTATTAACCGCAATTTAAAAAATGCTAAATCTTTCTTGTCAGGGAACTCTTTACTACAATATAAGCTGTGTATGAGATAGATGACCAATGACCTCGATATTAACAGCCATGACGGGATAACCGATCTTACCGAACATATTTGCAGAACCGACTGGGTTCACGCACAATATTAACTTATGAAACTAAAATAAGCGGTATTGGATGGCTTTACGGACTATGAACATGTCGTTTAGGGTTGTTGGATTCATGTTCGCTCGACATTCTCCCAGCATGTGACGGACTACGCTGAAGTCTCGTTCAGGCTGTACTGAGTGGGGGGGAGTCGATCTCAAGCTCTCCAGACAGATGCTGAGGAGGGGGCCGCGCCTCCCATCAGCTCTGAAGGAACAGAATTCACGTCTTAGTTCCTCGCTTCGTTGAGAATCCCCTCTACTCATGCACGCACTGTTGAGGTCGCGGGGAACTGGCGTTTCGTTGAAGACGGACTCCCAAGTCACCGACTGCAATTGAAAGTTATTGGTTGGAGAAGTATGAACCATCGCTACGAAACATCCAAAGCCGGATTGAATAAATTTCTGTTGAACGCACCGATGCTTGAGTGACCGGCTCGTCGAGAGAAACATGTTCTACGGGAGAATCCTCCGCGTCCGCACCGAGCGTCTCTTCAAGTATTCCAAGGATTTGATCGTCGGACGGCCGGATCTGTCCGATTGCGGATTCAAGGATGAAGTCGTACCGCGGATCTTCGAGTACCGCCAGAACACTGGACAGCGTAGTTCGTCTCTTCTTGATCTCGTCCTTCAGGTTCTCTCGCAAGATGTCCGCAAGCTCTGTATTCAGTTTCGCCAGGTCCTCCAGTAACAAAGCGAAAACCCTATCCGCGTGCCAGAGGTTGGCTTCGTTTTTACAGAGGATCAGAATTGCTCTCTTGAATGGCGACAGGACGTGCTTGATTTTTTCCAGAGCCTTTACATCGTTCGTACTCAGCGGAGTCCCATGGCGGGAGAGTACGTTGTTCATGGCCGGCATTATCTGGAGAGCTCGCTCTATCATCACGAGCGTCGAATACCAGCGCGTACGGCAATCAATTATGACGCTCAGAGATTTGCCGTTGTATTCTTGTCTGGCCGGTATTCTTCTTATCTCGTCCATCAGATTCGGCTTTCTCGAAAATCTCGCGCCACTTTCCGGAGGCTTTCAAGGGTTCCTCCGAGAGTTGCCGCAAGGGGTCCATCGATGACTTCGTCAGCCTGATCCGATTCTTGGTCGTCTTCCGCATTGCTCTGGTCGGACCCGTCTCCGCTTCCATCCGTCACATATCCTTCGGCGTCGCATTGAGCTTCGGAGCCGCCTGCTCGGAGTTGCCAGGGTCGGAGCCGTCAGCGTCGTCTTCATCAGTCAAATCGAATTCGTCGAGCATTCTCACGTCGAATGCTGTCGCTCTAGCTCCGTAAATAGCTTTCTTAACGACAAGATCCAGCCCATGTGCGAAACACTTTTGTTGCTTGAGACCGAGAAGATTGACGGCCTTCAGAACGTTACTCGCTCCATCGGTGCCCGCACTCACGATGTCCTTGTCGGATAGATCGTAGATACGAAGTCGATCGCTGATGATTTGGCACAAATATTCTCCTGTAGCTGATTCTTTCACCCTTATGAGGCCCAAGGGCGCAATGTTCGAGTCGCCGAAAATCAGGCCGTAACAGTGAACGTTGAGGGTTACGTATCTGTCCGTTCCGATGAGTGTCGCTTCATCGAAGGAGAGGGACAGTCTTACGCCTGAGAGGGTAAGTATGAGCCAGTGACTCCAGATATCTCGCCGTGATAGGGGGAAACGAAAGAATGCTCTAGAGGAAAGTCCTCACCTTTCTCTCTGACTCGTCTGAGCTCCATCCGGAAACGATTTCTGACTCTGCTCGCCTCGTCGGTCAGAATCTTCCTTATGCTTGCGATCGATTTCGGTAACGGTGGATCTTTTGGGTAAGCTCGGCTCAGAGTTCTCCTGAGTGCAGCAGAAGTCACGACTTGATTCATGCTCAGATTAGATTCGCAGATCAAGCTGAGCACCTCACTCTTGATAGTATGTTCAGCTACGAAGAATTCATCCAAGGCTAGCTGCTTCCTCTTTTTTGCGGGATTCATTCCCCTGAGATTCTTTCGGACCGAAGGAGGCGTCTCCATCTCGTCCTCGTCCATGTCGAAGTTGATACGAGAGGCTTCATCGATCTCCGATTCGTCGGTGTCTTCTTCTCCTGGACGGGGAATCGGCGTGCTCTTGGAAATTCCGTGCTGTCTGTTCAAATGTGTGATCAGTGCACCCGTCGTCCTGTCGCTCTTCAGAGTCTGAGAAGCTGATCTCGATAAGTTGTCGGTCGACTACGAAATGCAGATATTTTTTCGACGAAATACAGAACACTTAATTGTTCTCAACAGGCCAAAGAAGCTTACGTAGTTTGCATTCCACAAGCAAGGAAGGTCCCCACGACATCAAATACGACAGGATAAGGCCATCGCTCTGGCTCAATGGCAGGAATCGTCAGATATACACAGAAACACGAACACATCAGACCACTGAATACTGTCGATCCATGCTGCCCGCTGGAAGTGCGGAAAACTATTTCGCCGTTCACTCACTCGAGAACACCTAGAACATTGGGAACCGATGGGCTTCTTCTCGAACCACTTCCAGACCCAGCTTTTCAGTTTTTTCGACCCTTGGAATCCAGACATACTGCTCATCCGTATGCCCCGACTTTCGGAACATACAACAACAAGGAGCGAGTTTCACAAAGCCTGTTTTCTCAGAGAGTCCCTGCTCTGTCCTCTGAAAACGACACAATGGATGTACATGTGTAGATAAAGATGAAGCGTAGATGCAACTCCTAAGCCCACGTTTTGATATCGCGCGGCGACGTTCATCTCGTCATAGCGCGCTCTCCGGCGCCGAATTCGAAAGCGGAATCGAAAGATCATTCGAACGCGAAATAGGTAGTTCAATTTTGGCACTTCCCTGGTTTCGCTTCCTCGCCAAGGAATCGTCACCCGTTTTCGTCAAGACAGAGAGGGCTCCGCTTGCGTAGAGGAAGCTGAATTTGTGATAGTTTTCCAGAGAAACATGGAGGCCATCTGATGCGGTTAACCGCAGAAAACCGCGCGAAAATTGCGGTTTTCGTGCGGTTATTAACCGCCGAAAATTGCGGTTAACCGCGGTTTTAAAACCGCGGTTTGTAACCGCTGCAAAGCCTAGCTATGACGCGTCGCGGTTCACATTGGCTCAAGTCAATCGTCGATTAATGTCGTATATTCTTCGATATGCGGTGCTCCTAATGGGGAAATTGATATCGCCTTCGACGATCATTTCCATAGCTTTGAATGCTCGAACAGAAGATATTACCTAGTTGATTGTCTGACTTGATGTTTGATGCGAAGAAGTTCTTCAGCTTTCGGATCCCTTGATCCTGAGAAACTTGATATCGCTTCGAGCAGGTGGAAGGAAACTCAAAAGGTCCGCTCCGAAGTCGTAACGTAGGAAGATTCCACCGAAGAGTTGCTTGGTAGATGCGGACGAGCAAGCGAATGGGCTTGTGTGCAGCGGTCCAAGACCCGGAGTAGGCATTGGGTGTCCGCGGATCGGACGTGCCTTTCGATACACTTGCGAGCTCTCACGACGTTTCCTCTATCGTGCTATTCTTCTTTTACGCAGCCGTCTGTTTGCTCGCGCCCCGCAGGCTCTTCTCGGGGGTTGGCTCTGAACACTTTTACAGCGCCGCTGTCTCGACTAGCCGCCTATCGCCTCCACGTTCCACTGATGGAAACACCCGCCTCGCAAGCTGATAGGGAAATGAATAGTAGAAACTAAGGAACGCCATGCGATTCGCTCCCTTTGCTCCGGCTCGGGATTGATCAAATGTTCGCCTGAATAGCTCTATTGCTAGGGAGGACGAGTTGCACCGCCTCGATTGGGGGAGTTAGAGCGTTCTAGGGTAATAATTGAGGGAATCAAAAGCATTCTCCCGGAGAATTGGATGCTCAGCAGGCGTGAGCATCTACGCTCGTGTTTTATATCGGTTCTAAAGTATTGCGCCGTCAGCATTCTGTGGGTTTTGGCGAGGTTCGCTGCAGACGCGGTAGATTCAGGTCAACCTCGAAAACCTTCATCGTGAGCCGAGCCTCTCGATTGGATTGCGAAGCTTGAGTACACAGAGCGTGCGGCCGATCACCGTACATGGAGTCTGATGTATGTATACTCTGCGGTTCTCGTGAAATTGAGTAATGTACTCGGAGACTCGGCATGAAGCTGATATACCCGATCCGTATATGAATTCAATTCATGTCGCAGGCTGACTAATCTGTGACTCTTCAAATCTGGTAGAAAACCTTTAGATCATTATACACCTTATGTATATCCGAGAAACTATCTCACTTGGTATTATGTGTATTACTCGTGATCAGTATAGTACTCATAATCCCGTAATGCGTGATTGATCATTAATCATTATATGTGTATCAGAGAACATATCGATCACTGATCGACGATCAGAATCCATCAGCGAACATATTGATTCTTGAGCATCCAGAACGTATTGATCATAATACACATACTCGTGAATTCGGTCAACACATGTCGCTGAGCTCTGAGAGTGGGGGGATTCGGCTTGTTCATGGCACACTCAGCCTCAGTGAAGCGACGTTGTCCCTGTCATTGTCTTTGCACAGTCCTTGGCGCTGTACGATATCCTTTTAAAGGGGCCGATAGCGAGTGACGCCTTTATAATGGCATGCAAGCGAGCCGTCCAGTCGGACAGCAGCGGCGCGGCCAACCGGGCTGTAAACAAGCGTGGGCATACAAGGCACGATGAGGCCAAGCGCGAAGTGCCGGACGGCTAACAGTGACCACGCGCGGAGCTAACGCGAGAGATAAAGCATAATGTTGGAAGGCCTGGTAAGGACTGGCAGAAGATTCACCCGTCGCTGGACAACAACAACGACCTTCACGACAACATTGGATGCAACGAAGCCGATATCTGCATTCCATGCATGGATGCGTAGCGAACGTCGTGTGCTGGTCTCCCACAAGTGGACATCTGGGCTCTACCCAAGGACTCGCTACCCCGAGCCCCTCACCTATTGGGCAGAATATTCTGTTCTACTTCGCACTTCCAAGTCTTATCGAGTTATAAAGTTAATACAACCATGCGAGACGTCCATGATGAACGGATACCCTCGGACTCAGACATCAAGGGCCATTAGCGTCTGAAACGTGTCCTCCTCTCCGAGATAAGACACATGTCATAAAATGAGTGAGTCTAAATAGCTCAGGGCTACAGTTCGCTCAGCAGACATCATGATTCAGCCAATCTGGCAGCGGAACAGACGCAAACTCGACGGAATTATCGAGAGAACGAGAGGGAGTTCAGAACAGGAGTCCCCGGCGGCTCCTACGGTCTGGGCTCGAATGTAACGACCGCAGACCGGGGTTTCGGGGTCACGAATCACTCATGCCCGCCCCGTTCCTCTGAGATGGGGGCGAGCGGGAAGGTTTCCGCGAGGGGGTTTTCATGGTAGTAGAATCGGGCTGCGAGTTCGAGAATCGGTACCATCGGCTCATCGGTGTGCATGGAACAGCATCTCATGAGTCGCCTTCGGTTCCCCTTGAAACCGGGACCGCTTGTCTGGCTGTGGTCAGTTTTCCTCTGTGACGGTTCGCTCCCTGGGAAGGACCAGCATCCGGGGCCGGGAACGCTACACCTATTCCGATCTAAAATCACGCCAACATCGATCCTGTCCCCAGTCTACGTCTTTGAGATTGTGTGGCTGTAATTTCTAAGGAATTCCATCGACAATTCGAGAGGATGAGACCGCGGAAATTCATTCGTGATGATGGAAAGCTGCCACTTCCTTTCCAGTCCGTGAGCCTCGCCGCTCTCTCCCCAAAGCAAATTCACAATCTTTCAGGGCTGAAGTCAGGACTGGAATTGGTCCGACGGACCCTTAAGCATCGATAGTCCCTGGAAGGCTTTTCCGTGAGTCCGAACAGGATTGGACAAGTCGCAAAGAAAGCGACAGGACGTGCTCGATGTCGACGCTTTGCAGAAGGACGGTGTGAACTCCGTCGAATCAAGCAGAGGGAATTCCCTGGCTCATGAGAACTCCCCGAAGGATAGTCTGATTAGTCAATAATTAATCAATCTCGCCTCCAAGGTCTTAGGCGCGCTTGTCGAAAGTTCCGCTGGAGCATCGAATTGGTTCGAGAACACTACGACCGGCCAATCTCAATTGTAGGTAATTTGATCGGTAGCTTCTATATCGATCCGAGACGCGACGGTGGAATTCGTAAGGATTCGATCGAGCGATCTGCCTACGTAAAGCTCTCGCGGCCATCTCTCGGGGTAAAACGTCGGCTCGAGGGCGCCCACGCGGATTATTCCTCGGGCTCGAACTCATTTTTCGACCGTCGCGTCGCTCTGGGAAGTTGTAAGATGAGATTATTCCGGGAAACAGGAACTCTTCGTGCAGCGACGCTCACCGCAATGTACCTTTTCTCCTTTCTTACCTTCCCCTAGTTTCGAATTTCGAAAGGATCTGGAAGACCTGTACTGAAGGGCCGCATGGAATGTGTTTCGCGTTCCCAAGTATGAGCTCATGAGAGATTCTAAATATAACGATGCGACAACGCATGCTGAAAGCTTACTCGAAGTTTTTGTGATTTCGAATCCAGATCTTCCGCTCTCGGCAAACACACGGGCCTGAAGTTTGCGGGATTCGATAAACCCAGTTTGCGGGATCCTCCCGCAAGGGATGATATAATTATTGCGGAACATCTAGACCTTGGACGAAAATCCTCTTGTAGGTACTCTGCCTATAGAGCTTAAGCCGGATCATGTATTCCTGAGCGGTATTCGCGAATATGTGCGGACGATTCCACAAAGCCCTCAAGCGATTCAAACCGCTTTTTGTAAAGACTCCATTCTTTGAGCCGGAAAACAGATCTGAGGGCTTCCCCCAGCTCTCCTTCTGATACCCGGGGAGATTGAGAGCTCGTAGCTGGAAACGATAAACGCCGAGCACCAGGACAGGTGATTCCCGGCGACTCTTGATCTTCTGTGGCGTTGACTCGCATGACCTATTGATATGCAATTAGAACACGCAAACACCGGCCCCGCCTCGTTTCAGACAGACTACTACACGAGGGCTCCTCCTTTCACGTTTAGCGATGCGGACGGAAGTTTGATGATGAATGCGTAGCCCATGAAACCGACCCGAGGCACGGATACCGCCCTCCGTGTTCATCTCAATCGACTCCGCAAAACCTCTGGATCTGCCTACTAGGAAACACGACAGCCCTCGAGTTTCCGAAGGTCATTCCGTTACTCCTCGCGTTCCTGATTCTAGACCTCCGGCGTCAGTCGGTCCACTGATAGTGCAGACTTGTCGAGCTCAGCGTCGACCGTCGCGTCGCTAGTTTCCTGGAGCTCCGAGTTGACCATCTGTGGGACTCGATCGAGGGCGAAGTTCAAGGACAGGAGCGTCAGACCGAGGAGTCGTACCGTATCGAAATTGATGCACTCGATGTTCAACGCGTATGCATAGTGGACACAGGAGGACAGGGAGATGGAATCGATATCTGCACCGAGTCAGCGCTAAGATTTTCTCGGGCGCATCAAGTTTCTCGCTCACTGTAGGCTACGTCGATTTTGCTCCACTCGTTCTGCAGCTCCGTTCTATTCGGCCTGAAATTCCGCTTCCTACCGTGTGTCATGCGGCTTGGATTGATGTCTAGCGAATGGCTGGACAACTCGGTTCGAGGAGCATCGAACGGACATAAATCTGACATTAGCTTCATTGGCCTGGAATCTCCAACCCCATGTGGGGCGTAGCTGCGTAGTCCGATCTTGTGACGAATTTCATGACGGAGGCTAATATTTACATAAGTGTGATGACTAACGCCATCAACCCGATGGTCCTCGTTCCGCATTCATTTGGAATCCCGAGATTCATCGTATTCTCAAAGGGAACAATTTCGTCTCACAGCTCCATCGGCTTCCCTAATCTGCTCGATCCTCAGTGATTGCAGATAAACTCGTCCTATACCGACCCGATCCTTCACAGAGCACTAGCATCTGGCTCAAGGCCACTCGATTCGAAACCATTAGAATGCCTTTTCCAGCCAATAGATTAAGTCCAGTTATGTACGTCGAATGAGTCGCCGGACGATTGCCGGATATCGTGTCATCCTTTCCCCCGCGGATAGCTCCTGCGTAATCATTCCTTGAATGAGGCCGACGTCGGAATATCCCCCGTACCACAACGGCGTGAATTCCGGTCGAAGCCCTCTGGAAAATACTCCTTAATAGGGACCGTCTCTCCCGCACAATCCCACACCGGATCCCGGACGCTATTGTAGCCTCGATTGATCGCTATTGACTCGGTCGGAAGCGATAGATCGAAGTGCCGAAAAATCAGGAGGTAGGTTGCGACCTCAACTTGAATCAATGATTGGTGCCTTACGTTGGGACTCAAGTCGAGGAACGACTCGAGTTGATGATGGGTTCCCCCACTTGCTCGAAAAAGGATTTCTCCAGTATTTCCGTGGGGGAGATACTTCCGTGTTGGCTTGTAGAACGCCAAGGTGTGGAAAGCCACTATATTTTACGGAAACTGTGAGATAAAATTGTTGAGTCGGAGGAGAGTCACACGAATCCAATGGAGTGAGGAGTAAGGGGGCCTTCGACTATTCCCTTTTCCTTTGTGAAGCGGCATCTGTGGCGAATCGCGAATGATATCACGGAACTGGGATAGAGATTCTACGATCAGGGAAAGCGATTCCCTCAGCTTCCGAAGGACTGTCCACGCCCTCGCTTCGGCTCTCCTTTTCCCCGTAAGCCACATCCGAGACTATGAAAGATGAGCTCTCGGTTTTTAAGGAAGTTCCTTAGCGGACTCCAGTATGATTGGTCATCGAAGTACTCTTCATGAAGATCCATTTACCGCTCGAGACGCGGCCTGGTCTCGGAATCGAGCTCTTCATGGGTCAGACACAAATCGGTGACTCAAGTACGAGGTGGACTCAAGTTGAGGGGAGTCTAGTGTGAGGTCGCGCTGTGTTAGGGAAGGGAGCTCTGAATCCTTCGCTCGAGAGAAACTTTCTGAGCCGTCAGGGTATTTGTCAATGATTCAATGGAGGAGTCACGAGGTGTTCCGGTCTCAAAAGAACCAGATGTACTCCTCGATTCGAGCTGTGTGTCACACCTGGGAGATTGCCACACGCGGCGAACTGTACATTGTACATATTTAGGTAGCTCCTTCCAAGAGCTCGTCATGTAGCTGAAAAATTGTGTGAAAACAGTATCCTCTGAGCCGTGGTTATCGGAAGCCCGATGCATGGTCTGTAGAGCGAGTGCTCTCCGATGCTCTGACGATATTGAAGGACGTTCACGGTATGAATCAAAGTCATTGCTCGCGAGCTCTCCCCGCATTCGAAGAGGTGTACCCGTCCATCACTGTCGTCGTAGATGTATCGCTTATCGGAAACAAACTGCTATACATAGCGCGGCAGTATTCGGATCATGGAGGGCAGAATTAGCCCATCGGTCTGATGTGCAATTGGCGGAACCCATAGAACGGCAGATGGGTCAACTCGGTAAGTAAGTAAATAAATGACCAAGCAAGCGGACAAATAAGTCACTTGCTCACAGATTAGGCCTAAACCGGGGTTTGTTGAATTCAGTCATCGTGCGGTCGTGAACCACTGTGGCTGGCATCATGTTGTTCCTGACGAGTGTCTGGTTGGCAGCGTTGTTTTCTGATCCTTCCATAGCCTCAAGTGGAGCGCTGGTAGAGGTTCGGACACGCGGCGTCAGATGGATGGAATGGATGGTTCATGTTTGATGTTGGTTGATCAGTGCTTGATTCGATTGATTACGACTCCGCACGATTACAGGCGTCGTCTCGAGGGATCCTCCAGCCGGCCTTATATGCTGTCAACGACTTCCGTAAGAAGAAACGACTCACACAAATCCCAGTTAACAAGGTCATCAAAGGCATGTGCACATTTCCTTCTCGAAAACAGTCGATTTCGGCATCGCGGGAGCTCCTTGTCGCCGAAGATTTCGAATGTTCGCTTCGCTTCACCGTTCCCAAGACTCGAGAACAGATTCTAGCTCTAGAGTTGGGATTCAAGGTCTTTCCGGACTGCGCCCATACGTCTGTCTCGAGCATTGCATCAGGATGAAGTCAAAGTGCGCCGCCTTCAACCTGGATAGCGTCAATGGAGTCTGTGAACTCCTGAGCGCCCATGTGTGCAATCATTCCGGGATCGAACTTGACCACAGTGATACCTTCAGCTACTACGACATATACGAAGACTCAGCTGTCGAGGTGGGTCAACTTCTCGCCTGTGGTGCAGGATGTTCCATTGATTCGGTCGTAAGCTGTTTGGAATGACCGATATACAGACTTATCGCGCCGATGATTGTGCCAACGGTGATCGAGACATTCTTTTCTTCCAGCGCGGCGGAATTATGTACAGCACCCCCTACTGCACAATGAAAGGTTTCTGCAACCCTGAGTGTGAACCCTGTGAGTGGAGCGCATGCCTTGGTCGTGCATGCGATTGATACTGGGAGAGTACATGTAGGGATCGGCGATCAAACTCTTACTGCTGCAGGGGCGTACATGCCGCGTCTGAATGAGATTTGCGCGGAGGACTATGAGTGTCAGATGAGAATCGGTCCTCACTCCGTTTGTCGGAAGCCTCCGGACCTCTGTAAATGTGAAACAGGCTACTACATCGCTGAGAAGGCAGGATCCGAGGAGAAGCAGTGCTTGAAAAGTATGTTCCTCTATCGGGTTCAAACTTCGTAAATTCTGACTTCATTCTGACTTCCCGCTCCGCAGATATTACAATATATATGAGAATACGTGGGCGCAGGTCTGCGCGGGCCGTGATCATATTTTTCTTTCAGTGGATGTGGAAGGATTCGACATCTTCCCCAACTTGAAGTCGGAAAGCAAGAAGGGTCTCTATTTCAAGCTTGTAATGATCGATCTGGACTTCGAGCAGGCATCCAACCACTGTGTCTCGGTGAGAAGCCATTCATTACTCCCCCCCCTCCATTGGTCTCTCTGACCTTCGATAGACACGATTGGTGTCCGATGGGCTCGAGGGATGCTAGATAGTCTTCCAAGTCCGCAATATAGTGGGCGCCCCTATTTTGTAGGTGGAAGGTGGCTATCTGGCATTCGCGGAAGATGGAGAAACAAATCGGTTCCTCAGAGAATACATGCGGAAGAACAAGGTTCGAGCAGCCTGGTTGGGTCTCTCCGATCAAGTTCAGGTGAGATGACTTCCGCAGAAGCTCGTCGAAACGGAGTTCGGCTCTCATCGTTTCCGATTGTGACGCGAAGGAGCCGTGGGACATATATGTATGTATGGCGGGAATCCCTCACGAGTATTCGGGGCTTCGCAGGAGGGCAGTATGCGTTCTAATGTTCTTTTTTCATCTTCGATGTGGAATGAAAAAGGAGGGCAACTGGATTTGGAGTTCCACCGGCCAAAAGCTGAAAACCGCGCAATTTTGGAAAAGTGGAGCCCCAGATAATTTCAACGACATCGAGCATTGTGCCATGATCACGAATGAAATCGATTTCGGCTGGGATGACGTGCCGTGCGAGAAAACGGGGAAATTCTTCTGTCAACGAGATGAAACCAATTGAGAAGCCGTCGGGTGTCGTCGTCACGGGTGCCGGGATTCGCTTCTGAATGTAGGAAATTCTATTCTCCATATATCCTCGATGAGCGATCCACATTAAGCTCCTCTCGCGTGGATCCTCCATGAGATCCTATGGGATTGGTTAATAGTTGTTGAATAAAAAGCAAAGTTGAATGGCCTGTTCCCTCTTAGTGCCTCACGTTCACATACCTGGACTCACAGAAACTTCGGAAGTTGATGAAGAATCTCGATGCCTGGGATCTCGGACCAGAATGGCGGGGAGGGCCTTCGAATGGATTGTTGAGGCTGCGAGTATGAGCTCATGCTGCATGCGATACAGATAGTCACAGATTTCGGTCCGAGGGCCCGAGAAAAACTTCCTAGCCCCCAGTCGATCTCGGGGGGGAAAAATGAATGGAGTCTCGCGCCACGTATCTGCGTCCAGCCAACCTTGGAGTAGTTCGAGGGTTCCGTGGAGGCTAAATACTAGACTGATTCATTCGATGATCACCTTTCTTGTTTCTTTCTTTATTACAAGTTCATCCTCTTCTCTTACTTATTTACAAGTACCCATAGTCTATTTACAGAAGAGTCTTTTGATAAATCACTGTTCAATGGTCGTTGTGGTTCAGCCTGTGCGTCGGAAATATACATTCATAGCCCTCATTTATTCAAATGCGACTTGGCACTGGACGAAATTTTTCACCATGTCGGACCGATCGGGCTCCCGCCGAGCGATGTGAAAGAATGGGGTAAAGATTGAACAGAACATGAAGGAGCAGAGGGAGAAGAAGAAAAACCTCGATCGTTCGAGCGCGTTTTTTTCCAGAATGAGAGCAAGTGCCGCGTAGGCTTGTCGAAATCGCCCCCCGCGCCCCAGCTCCTCTTCAAGTCGAATGGAATATCTGATTACTCGATGTATCATATATCGCAAGTGATCCATCAAGGAACCAGGTTCCTAGCATCAGGTTACGGCATGAGTGAAATTCCAGTGAGGAATAAGTCTTGGCACTACATCTTCACGTACTCGGCGAGCCAATCTTTGCTCATGTCGGGTACTTCAGCAGTGAAGCCGTAACCAATTTTCCCCATCAAGGGCGCCCATTTCGGTAAATCTTCGAAAACGTTGAACGGTAACTGTCCACTCCACGGCCACGTGCTCGACGTGTCCGTCAGCAAGAAGGTCAAGAGATCGACTATTTCTCTTTTCTTTGGCGTCTCGCTCTCAACCTGTGAACAGGAACATACCGTGAGTACGAGAGCCATGCCGGAATTCGATCTGGAGGCAATATACGGAACTTACATTGCCGTCATCCACTTTTTGCATTATTTTTTGGAGCATCCGGTAGACGTCTCTGTTTTTATCCATCATGAGGAATTCCGCCAGCTCATCGAGAGTCTCCGTTTGTCGCAGAATCAGACGTTCGATGAGGATGAGACGACAAGTTGATCGCCTGAGCCTGCGATACAATAGAAGACGTATGAGACAAGCTGGAATCGAGGCAGAGGTCTGCAACGACAGTATGCTCTCGGCAAATCGATCAATGATGCTGATTTTTCGTGAACGAGAAAATCGGATTCCTGACTCGGCAGGCGAAAGAATGTTGAGAGACACTCACTTTTTGCAGACTTCAATCATTTCCGTGGTTGTCCTATTCCAGTTCTCGACCGTCTTCCTCGCGTTGCTCATGATTTCTTCGTTGTAGAGACAGCGATGAGAGGGACTATCTCTGCAGTTTTCCTGAGCGAATTCAGCCCTCCCGAATCAATGTTTAAGCATCCCTCGAGAACGACAATTATTCCAACACCTCAAGAGGTGGTGTCGGATACAGTCTCACATCAGTCTCCGATCCATTGCCTTACCAACTCGTTTCCGTGCTTGTTGAATGCGTGATGGATTAGCGATCTCGGGTCCCGTATGACGAAAATATATTTCGAATTCTTGCGGAAATCATTCTTGAAATGATCTTTCAGGGCCGCGAAAGTCTCTTCATTGAGATCCGCACAGCCGTGGATGTTCTTCTCCTCGCTCTCGGAGGACTGGTCGACCTGCAAACAAAGAATACGAATTGATAGGCTTTTAATTTCCGCTCCGGAGATCGATCATGAGGGGCTTTTGGGGGGAAATTCTTCAGGGTACGCCCCGGAAAACCCCGGACCTCAAGGAATTGAGCCACTTCTTGGAAAGTGAAACTCGGGAAACAGTTCAACGAGAATCGTTGCGCGTCCATGAGGAATCGGAGGATCCGCTTCTGTTTCGAGGACTTGTCATCGAATGGCGCGTAAATGAAGAGCGTGTCGTTCGGAACTCTGGCCGAGAGTTCCGAAATCTTGCGCGGAGGTATTTTTTCGGGACTCGGCGGTATTCGAGGCTGTTCCCTGACGTCCTCCTGAATGAAAGAAACGATTTGAATATGGTTGGCTTGCACTCGGTTTTCAAAACTTTCGTGAATTCGTTCCGGGTCTAATCCCCCAAGAGACCTCGGGATGAATACTCACGGCTTCTGGTTCTCTGCGATTGCTCGTCAACCCTGGCTCCTCGGTGCTCCGGCCCGAAGGTCCAAGCGCTTCGTTTTTCCCGAGGAGGGGGCGCAGCACGCTGGCGCCCGCAACCTGCAATCCTCATATATCTCATTAATCTAGATGGGGGTTGAGCACGACTCCCGGAGCGAGTCGGCCCGCGCTCCCTCGCGGACGAACTGGCATGATTTGACTCAAGCAATTTGATTCTTATGTGAAGTTGGCAGCTCACCCTGTCGTCACTTCGGTTTGCAGGAACCTTGGCGGGCCATTCGGTGCCGGATTCGAGGAAGAAAGCCAAGGCAATGAAGGAAACGGTGAAAACGACTGCGGCGGCGCAAACGAAGCCAGGCTTCGAACAGACAAACGATCGCTCATCTGGTTCCCTATAGTAGTCATCAACGTATCCTGACGCAGATCGCGCTCTGCAATGAATGATTGACGTTAATAAATGATTGATCATCATTAGTATGACTCCGCTTCACGAAGGACGGCGAGGCCTCCGAAGTCGCGTCGTCTCGCTTCGGCGGAGCCCTCCTTAGATTGAAGATCCTCTCGGAGCACCTCAGATTAAGGATTCGCAGCCCATGGGTCGCGAACGCAGTTTTCCAGCTTCCCGTTCGCGAGGGCTCACGCTCCATAGGCGCGTCATCCATACTTTGCCTTCGATAGCTTACTGCTCGAACTGCCGAAGATTCAAATTATTGGGCTGCGTTCGATGAGAAGATCCTGACCCCCGCTGAATAGGTCCTAGATCTTCAGAGAGGAAGCCCTGATCAGGGGCGTCCCTGGGAGGGATCCGCCAATGCGAGTCCGAGTCCTCGGAGGGTGAAAATGGAGAGGAAATGCGTTTGGAAGTTCAATTTCCCAACGATGATCGAGAGGGCCTAGAGGTGCCTGCATGGTATAAGAGCCTGATATGTTGCCTCGAATGGTTTGATCTCCCGAATTCCTCGTCTATGGGGTCAACGAACTCAGCATCGAGATCTTTATAGCTTTCGCTGTCCGTGTCCGACTGGCGCCGCTCATAAAAGCTCTCAACACGTTGAGAAAAATGCTGCCGCGGGACCTAGAGAAGACCGTTTACGAATGTCGTCTCCGTCGCTGCAGAGCTTCCGTCAGAACTCAGGACATGAACTTCGACTCCATTTTCTCGTTTCGATGGAATCTCTCGCTCTTTCTCTTCCTTCTCTTCGGAAGCGACATCTTCCAGTCCTGACTACGGGGCGAAACGAGCGCATCCGATTCTTATCGATGCCGCTCGGGATCTTACGGCATCGAGCTGCGTGCTGTCCTTCCGCTCCGTCTGGGGCTGGAGAGAAGTCTGATCTCTGGGGCAACAGAATCTTTACCAGAGATCCACGACGGACGAGAAAACTAAGAGATATCCAGAACGATGTTCGCATCGGAAGGAGTAAGAAGTGGATTCCCCGGCTTCCCCGGCTGTGTGACAAGTTCTTCGGCACGGTTTTCATCAGTTCGCCAATGATGATCGAGAGGTTGAAAAAGCCCCAGGGATTCGATGCATCTTAGGAGACGCTCCTGGAGCCTAGCAGATGAAGAAGCTGCATAGCTCATCGCCTCCGGCCACTCATCCAATTTTTTGTACTGAAGCCTGATATGATGTTGCGATGTTGAGCAATGTTTTTATGGCGATGTCGTTAAGTTTTTAGTCCAGGTCACGCGTCTTAGCCACAATGAAAGATGCTCTCAGTCAGACAAGAACCAACGACAAGCCAACTCCGAACTCAAGACAACACGGCCGGAAAACTTTCAAGATAAGGCTGGAGAAGAGTAGTTTGGCTTACGGCGCGGCGCAATCAATTGCTGGAAGGAATCGAGACCGCTTGAATTTGTTTCTTCACGGATCGGTCATCGGGATCTACCGTCGGAAACTCTGCTCACTATGAGGGTCGAGTTGGAATGGAAATAAACGGAACGCCCAAGTATCGCCGATTCCATTCATTTCGTGCCTTTGCTGTCACGTCACTCCATAACAACGAGTCGCGTCCAATCATATCGGTCAATCATGAACTACCCTAATTCTCTTTTATGTCATCCGAGCGCCGCGACGCCCACCAAGCGCCACATAGAGAGCAAGCGATAACGTCGCCCGCAGAGGGCTTGCCGCCTCATTAGCGAGCAACAAGGATAGATATGAACAACACGAACAAAAAAGATAAGCAGGCTTGAACGGTGCGACAATGTTCCAGCTTTCAACCTTCAGAGCGCTTGCGGACGGCGAGTCAACGTTCTGCAGACGATTTATGAATCTTCGAGATCTAGACAACTTTCGATGAGCTGCCGTCACACTCGATGGAAGCGCTCGCAGCATGCAATTTGTCTCTCCCACAGGTGAAGATCGAGTCAAAGTCGATCTCCCCAACCAGACAACTTCCGGGATTCCCACGATATGAGACCGGGACAGACCGTCAGACGAATGCTATCGGCCATTTCGGGAGTCGATCCAGGAATGGATTTCGACGATTTAGGAAGCCTGAACAAACCGATCGAGCGTCCAACACGTGTAGCAGGTAATACGCTCCGAGGGAAATGACTCGGATATCGATCGGCCAGCTGACATTCACGGGCCGAGAGCAACCAAATCGACACGGCTCGATCCGGAGCGAGGAATTTTCTCTCAAGACCGGATTCTAGATAGATCGGAAGTCCTCGAACGCACGGAACATTCGGAATTCATCGCTCACGCGAGAGGAGAACTTTGTCGGATGATTGGTCTGCCGCCTCCTGAAATGCGGGATCGGTGCAGAACATACCCTATTTTGTAGGTGATCGTAGGCGCCATGGCTCAAGGGCTGAACCCGACCACCGGGCGAGCGTCACTCCGTCGTCGTACAAAATGAACAAACTCGGCGATTGGTCGAGAGACCCTGTACTGTCTTCTTCTGTTCTCTTCCAGCAGACGGAAAACCGGTTAACGGAGCGCTCACAATCGAGTTGCCCTCCTCGATTCTACGACGTCTACGTAGCGGTCGCCGAGAGGGATATCGGGTGACAACAGTCGAACGTCGCTACGTCGACGGCAACATCGACTATGAAAACAACAACAACAACAATGACGACGTCGGTGACGGTAGCTCGGTGGTGACAACTCCAGCAACTACGGCAGTCATTCCGTCCTGTGCTCGAGGCTCACATGACGGTCGCGTGTCACAATAATTTAGAGAGACCGGCCGAGACCAAGCGATGCCACCGCTGAGAGAGAACGCTCCTCGCTGAATCGAACCTGTTCTTCCTTCTTTTTCTCTTCGCTTCCTTCCTTCCGACAGACCGATCCGAGCGTAACTTGTCCGATACACGGAGAGCCAGAGACTTTCGAGGGCCTCCTTCACGCTTTCGGGCGCGCACCGCCGATTCTGTTGTCTATGTATATCCACCCTCCCACCAGGTCTATGAGCTTCGAAAGTAGTTCGTGGCCCGTAATGCGAAGAAAGTGGTGTCGGCAGTGCCGTCCCAGCGTGACACGAGCGTTCATAATCGAATTCATGTCTCCTATCCAAAAACGATTCTTTTGCCTATTGGCAGGACTGGATGATAGATCGTTGAATAATAATAATACAACGTGGACTGATGACCGGTGTTTTTGCCGAAGCGAGGAAAAACGTTCCCCCTCAAGGAATGCTTGATACGAACTATTAAAAGCTCTCTAGACTTCCGATCGAAATTCTTCCCTCATTCGGATCTATTCGATCGGCCGCCTCGAAACTCAAGCCGTAAACAATATTGGGCCGTCCCGTCGGACCGGACTAGGAAGACGAGTTCGGTCGAAAGACGATGTGTTCCCATTCGACTCCGATCCACGTATTTGATGCGCACATTGGAAAACATCATGGCAACAGAGAAGTCCGGATCGTTCTCATCAATAGCTCGTCTACGGAGAATCATAATACCCGCATTGACTGCCAGAACTAATTGCCGGCATCCTAGTTAAATGCGGTCACGTAAAACATCGAGTCTCGCTTGTTTTTGTTCTCATCTTGCTGACGATATTACTCTTCCTTTAATCCTCCAGGGATCATTGGGGGAGCCATAATTCTATCGCACGGAAGAATTATTCGAATGGTCCCCCGCAGAGAATCGCCGATCGAGAAAATCCGAGGATGAGATAGCTCGACCAACAGGTCAGCGGACGGATCGGTCGGGGTCTCCGAGGAGGGAGAAGCTGGGATGAGACCGGCGAACGATGAGATTGGAGAGATTGAATTTTCAGGCTCAGAACAATTTTTTTTTCTTTCTACCTCTGTATTTATCTTGGAGAGAGTTGCTTATATGCCTTGGTATCGTCGCCTCTGTCGAAAATCGAGGACTTGTGACCTGGATAAGCTTCCTTTTGCAGGCGGGAATATAGTCTCCTCCTTGCGCTTCCCATGTCCTGCTCGAGCTCAAAGTCCACCGAGATCTTCTTGGGTGAGACATTCGTTCAATGAAAGAATGGAAAACTGAGACTCCGGCTCCGCTACTCAGTTTCCCCAAGGGAACTATCGATTCTAGACCCAGAAACCTAATCGGTAGCGAACTCGGGCACACAGGTACCAGGCAGGCCCATTCATATCGAGTGATCGCCGCAGTTTCTCGAGTACTCCCGGGACACGGAGTCCCGCCCGGTCAGTGCACGCGGTAGCCTTATAGCCTCTGGCAGGTCCGTATTATCTGATCCTGGATTCGAATTCTCAATCTCGGAACGTCTGAGAAATCAGAAGGGAGCGAAATCCTATGTTGATGAGGAGGATTTATCACCAGTCGCACTCCCCAGAGGGCGCGCCCAGCTTGAGAGCCGCGGTTCGAGTCGTGGTTTCGCTAACAAGCGTAATGGAAATTCTACATGCTCATTTCCCCGTTTCGGGATAGTCTGATGGTCCGCGGGCCAGGACCACCGGAGGAGTGTTCCAATATCTTATCTGAGCGGCGCTCAGGGGAAGGCTCTCTTCTTTAAAAGTGACAGCGATCCATAAACAAATATAACACGAGCTTTTTGATTGAGAGCGACAATCTAAGTTTGAGCCCCGGAGCCGATGGTCGGGAATGCTTGATATAGGAAGTCACGTTCCCTAATATTTAGGAATACGTTTTGTTTATCATAACCGACAGTACGAGATCCACTTGAGATGGCAAATCTCTGTCTGATCGGATGACACATTAGGGTTTGTGGTCAAGCGTGTTGTATATAATAGCAACAAGCATGAGGAATCGAATGTTCAACAGTCTTCCACCGTCTCTGACACCTGGGTGAGCTCTCGGATAAATATCAGGGCAGCATTCCCTCGTCAAAACCCTTGATCGGCCGCCGTCGTCAGACTTATCAAGCCTCTGGTTCCACCCCGCAGCTTTTTCACTCATTGTAAGATGGCTGCCGGAATGATCTTCTACTCTTGCTGAGATCTGGCGGAAGCTTTGAAGTCAAATTATTTCGCAGACTCGTTCCCCGTTTCTGGAAGAACTCGGATC